CCTATAAAACCCCTCTTCTGTAGCTCCTCCTATGACCCCAGAAACCCCTCTTAAGGACTACCCCAGAGATAAGAAAAGACCCACTGAAAGACCACATCAAAATATTTACCTAAGACCCATCATTATCGACGTATTGGATTATTGTAATTAATTAATTATTATCAGTAATTAATTCTACCAGATTTCAGATAATTACATGATTCATTTATAATTGTGTAATAATTATATATATAAGGACTCACTATATATAATTATATGGTATTTAATCATGTACTCAACAAATTAAACCTAACCTAATCTAGCTCATTATTTCTTTGAGTACAGTTGGTATTGTGTACAGAAAGATGAAGATTAATTAAATATATGATATAATTAGGATATATTTGATGATAATAATGATAATAATAAAATATAACAACAATGATGATAATAATAATAATAATAATAATAATAATAATAATAATAATAATAATAATAATAATAATAATAATAATAATAATAATAATAATAATAATAATAATAACAATAACAAATAATAACAATAATAATAATAATGATAATAATAACAATAATAATAACAATAATAATAATAATAATAATAATAATAATAATAATAATAATAATAATAATAATATAATAATAATAATAATAATAATAAATAATAATTTATTCAGCATAATTCGTCCCTTTAATTTGTAGAATAACATATTTCTAATCAAATTAACTGACAAACTAACTACGTCCAGGACTAATTAGAATGTTCTAATCACTTTCACATCTGTATATGAACCAAGCCATTAATATTTTGCTACACACCCACAGGTCCCAGTCTCCCACAGGTCCCAGTTCTAATAGGTCCCAGTTCTAATAGGCCCAGTTCTAGCCAGGTCCCAGTCCCCAGGTCCCAGTTCTAATAGGTTCCAGTTCCTAATAGGCCCTAGTTCTAATAGGTCCCGTTCCCACAGGTCCCGTCCCCACAGGTCCCAGTTCTAATAGGTCCCAGTTATACAGGTCCCAGTCCCACAGGCCCCAGTCTCTAACAGATCCCAGTCTCCACAGGTCCCAGTTTTAACAGGTTCCCAGTTCCAACAGGTCCCAGTTCTAACAGGTCCCAGCTCCCACAGGGTCCCAGTTCCAACAGGCCCCAGTCCCACAGGTCCCAGCTCCCACAGGGTCCCAGTTCTAACAGGTCCCAGTTCTAACAGGTCCCAGTCCCCACAGGTCCCAGTCTCTAATAGGTCCCAGTTCCCACAGGTCCCAGTCTCCACAGGCCCCAGTCTCTATTAGGTCCCAGTTCTAATAGGCCCTAGCTCTAATAGGTCCCAGTTCTACTGTCCCAGTTCACAGGGTCCCAGCTCCCTAATAGGTCCCAGTTCTAATAGGGCCCCAGTTCCCACAGGTCCCAGTTCTAATAGGTCCCCAGTTCTACAGGTCCCAGTTCTAATAGGTCCCAGTCCCAATAGGCCCCTGTAGTAATGGTGACCCATACAAAGAGCATGAAGAATCGTGACCCATTAAAACGGGGGCCAATTAGAACTGGGAATTGTCCACAATTGTAATTAAATTTAAATTAGCTAATGTATTTTTTTCACAATTGCATATTTAATTAATCACAAACAATTATCTAAATCAGGAAATAAAATATTATGAAATTGTTGGATGTCGCTGTTTGTTGACATCATAGTAAACAGTGAAATAAAGTCGCCTCCACTTCTACCTGCTGCAGGTATTGTGTGTTTTGTTGATGGCAACGTTGTGTTTATTTACATCGCTTACAAGTATTCTCCACTCTGAAAATTACTTGTTTACCATTTAATTGTTTACATTACATTGTTTATCTCCTGTTTGTGTTTACATTACATTGTTTACTCTCCTGTTTGTGTTTACATATATGTGTCTAGAGGGCAAATGTCTACACCATCACAAGCTGGCCTCTACTGTTTACCACCAAAAATAAAACACTCTAACAACTTTGTTCGCGTTTGTTTGCATCCTGTCACTATTATTATCATAGGTTATTATCTAACTAACTTAATAACTATCAAACTAGCTTATTAACTAACAAACTACCTTATTAACTAACAATCTACCTTATTAACTACAACTACTACCTTATTAACTAACAAACTACCTTATTAACTAACAAACTACCTATTAACTAACTACCTTATTAACTAACAAACTACCTTATTAACTAACTACCTTATTAACTAACAAACTACCTTATTAACTAACAAACTACCTATTAACTAACTACCTTTATTAACTAACAACACCTTATTAACAACAAACTACCTTATTAACTAACTACCTTATTAACTAACAAACTACCTTATTAACCAACAAACTACCTTATTAACTAACTACCTTATTAACTAACAAACACCTTATTAACTAACAAACTACCTTTATAACCAACAAACTACCATATTAACTAACAAACTACCATATTAACTAACAAACTACCTTATTAACTAACAAACTACCATATTAACTATCAAACCACCTTATTAACTAACAAACTACATTATTAACTAACAAACTACCTTATTAACTAACAAACTACCATATTAACTAACAAACTACCATATTAACTAACAAACCACCATATTAACTAACAAACTACCATATTAACTAACAAACACCATATTAACTATCAAACTAACTTAATAACTATCAAACTAGCTTATTAACCAACAAACTACCTTATTAACCAACAAACTACCTTATTAACTAACTACCTTATTAACCAACAAACTACCATATTAACTATCAAACTACCTTATTAACTAACAAACTACCATATTAACTAACAAACTACCTTATTAACTCAACAAACTACCTTATTAACTAACAACCACCTTATTAA